ACTGTTTGGGGGGAGAAAGAGATTGGGAGTGTGCACTATCTTGGTTGGTATTGTAAATAGTCGAAATGGGCATTCCTTTTAAGAAAATTTAAATATTATTAATTCATCCTTTGAAATTCATCATACGTTGTTTTCAAAAGTTATATGGTTTCATGTTCCATAAATTAGATGGTATTATTCTGGTTTCTTATGATCACATGTACGCTATAAGAAAAATTTTCCAGGACAGTAAATAATGACGTAGTGAATGACGTAGATTAAGGAAGATTATAGAATACCTAGTACTAGTTGACCTTCTTAAAAGTTGGAATTTCATTAGAAGAGGAGATCATTTTGAGCTTTTCTTTATGAGCCTAAAATATCTGGAACATTTGTGTGACTACTTATTTTCAGGATAGACATTCAGGTGCATCACCGAGGATGTGAAAGGCTGTTATCTTTTTGCATTTAAATTTTTCTCTTGCCTCAAAATGAGGATTCACTTGCAAACTAGGTTCCCTCTCAAAAAGGTCTGTAGCTTCCTTTTGCAGGTTGAGGGTTGAATCCTCCAACAGACAAAGGGGTGCTGCTTTGATTCTCTTATTTCAAACTGGGAATAGCACGCCTTTGATTTTTGCAGTCCACTTATGATCTTGTTATGATCTAGCTGTTCTGATGGACAGGGCTTAACCCTGAAACTGAAAAAACACCTTACAAATCAAAGCTAACATTTAGGAGAAAGCTGCCATTCATTCGTTTATCCATTCAGGAAATGTTTACTGAGCACCTACTGTGTGACAGAAGTGAACAAAACACAAAAGTTACTCCCCTAATAGAGCTTTTATTATTGTGGGTTGAGGCAGACAGCAAATAAATAATGTATGTAATGAGTCAGTTGGTAATAAGGGTTTTGGAGAACAATAAAGCTGATTTTCTATCATGGTGAAATAGTTTTTGGTAGGGAAGGAGAGAACAGGTTGCTATTTAAAATACATGGCAGGCCTGCAGTAGGTGAGGAACCAGCCATGGGGGTATGTGGGGAAAACATTTAAGCAGAGCCAATGGGAAAGCCTCAGTAGTATCACAGTTTTCTTCTCCGGGAAATAGTGTGGGGGCCAGAGTGGCTGGGGCAGAGGGGCAGGTGGGGATAAAAGGGAAGGTGCTTTGGGAGGTGATGTGGAGAAGACTTGCAGGACATTCAGGAGATCAGTGGCACTTTTACTCTGAGTAAGATGGGAAGCCATCAGCAGCCTCTGAGCAGAGGAGTGACAGGACATGGTTTGTGTGGCAAAGAGTCATCTGACAGCTACATTAAGAAAAGGCTAAATTCCAGATATATGCCGAAGCTAACGGTAACATGATATGTTCAAGGGATATGAATGGAACAGAACTGTTTGACTTCAAGGTTTGGGGCCGCAGCAACTGGAAGGAGGAATTTCCATGTACTGAGTTGGGATTGTCTTTGGTGGGCTGTATATGTGGGTGGGGTGGGGGAAATCACAATTTTGGTTATCAGATACCTCTGAGACCTCCAAGTGGAGGAAAATACTTGAATAGTTGAATCTGAGATCAGGGGCAAGGTCTAAGTTGAAGACATTAATTTGAGAGTCAGCACAAAGATGGTTTTTAAAACTGTGACACTGAATGAGATCTCCAGAGAGTGAGCTTAGATGACAAGAGAAAGGGCCCCCAAGTCCAGATGCTGGATGCTCTCCTATTTAGAGATGATGAAATGCAGAGGAACAACGGGATGGGGGGCTGAGAAGTAGCTTCAGGTGAGACCAAAAGAAAATCCCAGAGAGAATGGTGCCCAGGAAGCCAAATGAAAGCTGTGTTTCAAAGAGAAGGAAGTGATTAGTGGTGTCAGTACGGACAATCAATCAGAGTGAGATTCCTTGAGTGGTTCTGCCTAATGTCCATAGCAAGGACACCTGGGCTTCCCATCCCAATAGCATCAGGACAAGCATTTCTTCCTTCCACAGAACTATGAGATGTTCAGACCTCTTGGATTGCTGCCACCTGATGCAGTACTTTCCAGCTCCTGACCTGCAAATCATGTGCTTCGTGCCAACACTTAATCAACAAAATACAGCCCTATGTTCATAAAATTAGAAATATGCAGTGCTCATGTCAAGTTTCTTAAAGCTAAGGGTATCACTGCTTTTGAAATTCTTTCCATTAGGGGTTGGCAATCCATGGCCCATAGTCCAAATTTGTCCCACTGCCTGTTTTCGCAAATAAAGTTTTATTGAAACACAGCCATACTCACTTGTTTACATATTGTCTGTGGCTACGAGGATAGAGTTGAATTACCTGTGTTTTATATGTAAATATATATGTATACACACACACACACACACACGTATATAATATTCAAGAATACGTCCAAAAGTTCATAGAAAGATTCATATTATCTTTTAATTCTATTTTTCCATGAGCTTTTTGAAGTACCCTTGAATATACATGCATGCACACACACACGCACATATGCGTATATATTCCTGAGCCTCAGAGAATCGGCATATCCCAGTGTAAGTCTTGGGTACCTCCGTAAGATTTTTTTATTTTTTAATTTAAATTTTAAAAAAAAATTTACTTCTCAATATACATTGTAGTTGATTTTCATGCCCCTTTACCCATTCCTCTCCACCCCCTCCCCTTCCCCTCCACATCATATCTGTTCATTTGACTTAAATAGTTCAAGGAATTTTTGTGGTTTTCTGTCTTCTCCCCCCTCCCCCCCCCAATTTGTTTGTTTGTTTGTTTATTTATTTATTTTTAGCTCCTACAAATAAGTGAGAAGATGTGGTATGTTGGTTGTTTAAAGACCACTTGATTAATAGTATCATATTGTATATTTTGGACTAGCCCTTTACCTAAAAAACAACTACGAAACTTTCTTATTTTAAAAAATGAAGCAGCTACTTTAACTAAACCTCTGGACATTATATATCATGGAGAAAAGCAAGAGATTTAAAAAAAAAAAANCGCAAATAAAGTTTTATTGAAACACAGCCATACTCACTTGTTTACATATTGTCTGTGGCTATGAGGATAGAGTTGAATTACCTGTGTTTTATATGTAAATATATATGTACACACACACACACACACACACACGTATATAATATTCAAGAATACGTCCAAAAGTTCATGGAAAGATTCATATTATCTTTTAATTCTATTTTTCCATGAGCTTTTTGAAGTACCCTTGAATATACATGCATGCACACATACACGCACATATGCGTATATATTCCTGAGCCTCAGAGAATTGGCATATCCCAGTGTAAGTCTTGGGTACCTCCGTAAGATATTTTTATTTTTTAATTTAAATTTTTAAAAAAATTGTACTTCTCAATATACATTGTAGTTGATTTTCATGCCCCTTTACCCATTCCTCTCCACCCCCTCCCCTTCCCCTCCACATCATATCTGTTCACTTGACTTAAATAGTTCAAGGAATTTTTGTGGTTTTCTGTCTTCTCCCCCCTCCCCCCCAGATTTGTTTGTGTGTTTGTTTATTTATTTACTTTTAGCTCCCACAAATAAGTGAGAAGATGTGGTATGTTGGTTGTTTAAAGACCACTTGATTAATAGTATCATGTTGTATATTTTGGACTAGCCCTTTACCTAAAAAACAACTACGAAACTTTCTTATTTTAAAAAATGAAGCAGCTACCTTAACTAAACCTCTGGACATTATATATCATGGAGAAAAGCAAGAGATTTAAAAAAAAAAAAAACCCTCACATTACCATCATTCCAAAACCCACAAAGGATTCTGAGAGTAAAACAGTGGACATTTTCCCTCCAGTCCTCTTTATTTATATTAAATGAGCTATACCTTCTTTGCACCGCCAAAGCAGATGGTGCTATATTGGAATTACTGACAACATATTCCCATGAAGGAATCTTGAAATGAAACCATCTATAAATCATCTGTGGTGAGCAGCATTTACACTTGCTCGATTTGGGGCAGAAAATAGAGTAAAGACTCTCTAGTTCACTCACATTTGGTCATCTTCATGTGTTTATTTTAAATGGAGATTTGTAGGTGATAATCCCAGCACCTAACCCCTCTCCTGACAGCTGAGAAGGTTTTGGTTTATGACACAAACTGGAAATGGTAAAATAGATGTTATTTGTAAGTCATCCAATTTGAAGTGTGGCTAAAACGTGATACAGTGTTTTCTTTTTTTTTTTCTGTTGGTCTTTGCTCATGCAAGGATCAAAAGCTGCAGATCCGCTGAGATGAAAACAATTACTGTGAAAGCTGCCTTTCTATCTTTTTCTTTTCAGAGTTTTCAAAGGCTTTGCTTACCTATTTATAGTCAAGTCTCCTACACTGAATTTTACTGTTTTACAAAAATGCACCGACTTCACCACAACAAAAATTTGGCTGGGTTGTAGTGGTATGGAAAGGCCTAGGAAGAAGACTTCTAGGTTACAAATTTGGACCAAATTTATGTTATTGTTTTGTAGAATGTATTCAGCAAGGGGATCTTACTTAGAGCTTGTGTTCAGCATTTCTGCATATAAGGGGCAATGCTTCGCCTGCTGGCCATATTGTCATGACCCGTGCAGAGGTTTTGGCTTTGCTGTCCCCCTTGGTAATTGAATCGTTTGCTTGGTTTCCACTGTGATTTCAGATCCAGCTGCACCCCCCGCGCCTACCAGCCTCCGGCTTGCAAACTCAACTGTAAACGGTGACGGAAGCGTGACTGTGACCATTGTTTGGGATCTGCCTGAGGAACCAGATATCCCTGTACATCACTACAAAGTGTTCTGGAGCTGGACAGTCAGCAGTAAGTCCCTGGTCCCAACGAAAAAGAAGCGGAGAAAGACCACTGATGGGGTAAGTGGGGACGAAAAGGAAGAGTGATCTCTTGCAGGGGGATTTGAACTCATAGCAACTGGTCTGCAATGTGGCCCCTGCTGAGCTAGGACAGAAAGATCTCAGCCTTTTTGTTTTGACTGAGGACGTTCAGAGAATGCAGGACCATGCCCACCGTTTTGCTTCTTACCTTTTAGGCAGAAACAACCGGATTTGTTCTATGGACCTATTCTTATTCAAATACAATTTCAGCTCCAGAAATCAAAGGAGCAATTTAGATTATCTTCATCTTACCTGTCTAGGCATGGAAAATGACATAATGCAAAATGGCCTTTACGTTGAGGTCTTTTTGTTTGGTAAGAGATCCTTGTAAGTTGCAGAGCAAGCTGCAAGGTGTTTCCATCTATAATCTAATCAGAGGAACAGTAAACAGCTAAGAGAGTGCGTGCTTGCCAATACGTTTCTGTCACTGATTAAAAGAGTCTGGAGTGGTTTATTCTCTAGATGTCAAGAAATAAAAATCTCCATTGAAACATTTTCTGCAGTGAGATGTCTATGGCGAACACCTTGCATCCTATGAAATGCTTTGTGCATAAAAAAGGGTTATTCGGATTCCCTTTAGAATACATTCCTTTATCTTATAGCATTTACATGAACACCTTTCCCCCGAATTTACAAAGTCGAATTCAATAGAAAAACAAATATTAAAAAATGCAATCAATGTCCATCATTTATCAACTATATAATAAAGGATGAACGTCGAGTTTAATTATAATTGTTAAGAAACCCAAAGTAGCCTAAATCATGGACTGTCTTTTGAGTGACTTACATTTCTGGATCCAGAAGGGACAAGCTATATGTTGTGTGAATCACTACAATTCTCAATATTAAAGTTTAACCAATTGAAAATTAGGTTTAGAAAATCTGGAAAATACAAAAGAACATGAGACATCATGGAGTTTTTTTTCTTAGGGATCAGTGGTTTGTCATGTTAAGATACCACATCCTAATGTCTGTGGGAACTCAGGGGAGTGGGAAATTTCAAGAAAATGCTCTTTCAAAAGTGGATTTTAGTTCACGTATTTGAAGGTAATGGTTGTGATATGCAGTCAAACAAGAAACCCTAGCTAAAAGAAACAGGGAATCAGAAGTATATGCAGATGTGCCAATGGTTAAATAGGAAAAAGCCCATGATGAGGCAGGGGGGTTCCCTGGCCATAGCAGCTAGTGGGCTGCTGAGAGCTGTCCAGGAATCCCCTGGGAAGAGCAACCACAGTCCAGAGTCTGACTCAACTTTCCACTTCTGGAAATGCATTCATATCCACCTTCCAGAGCTGACCAGAGCTGAAAAAGCTGATTTCTGATAACTAATCCCTCAAAAGCCTGAGCATATAATGGTGTCATCTATTAATTTACTCATGGTTCTGAGATGTTCATGAAAATCATATTTTCTCCCTGAAAAGAGATCTCACAAGACTCAAATTTATAATCAGGTGGTTGTGGAAGTTAAGCAAGAGATTTGCTTATGTGATTCAATACTGGATGATTTCAGACAGCAATACCCTTAGTATAGCATGTGGTGTACATAAGACTGGAATGCTCCCCACTGGAAAGCACATACTACTACCTCCCTTATGTTTGGTGTTGCATTAATAATTGACACTTTTTTTTTCTCCATAAATGTTAATACCACCATTTGACCATTTATAGGCAAGTCTTCTTTGGGCATAGAAACCATATGATACCATCACATGTATTATATTTTGATGAGTGTTTTGAAATCTAGGACCACAACCTTATTTTTCTTAATGACAAGTTCTTGGAAGGGACTTATACTATACTCTTATACCTGGAAGCTGTAGAAAAAACACTAGGTTCAGAGTTATGAAACCCATATTTTGGTGGACATGTCCCTTGATTCCTTAGCCTTAGTAGAATTCCTGTCTGGCCTCAAACTATTGGGCAAATTATATTGTTTTGACTTGCTTTGTTTAACATTAGCATCACAAAGGAAATTGGATGAGCACTTGACATTAACAATAATGATGGCGGAAAAATTTTGAAGCATTTTGTCAGGCTGATTTTTCTTATGACTTTTGGTGGAAATTTACTCATAGAAGATTTAGAATAGATATCAAAGAAATGCAACTAATGCTGATTCATCATTTTTCCAGGTATGTGGCAACATAAACCTCTGTTGGTATATTATGAACACCCCTCTTTTCTCTGCAAAGTGGTAGCCAGAGAGGAGAGTGGTCACATAATTCATGTCTATGCTACCCAAGAGTATCAAATAGCTGGATTAGGAACATAATTTAAAAGTATATATTTGGCCTTTCCATGACGTTTATTTTTACCCCATAGCAAGAGGGTGCTTCAAAAAGTTCATGGCAACATTTGTATTACCTTTTAATTCTAATTTTCCATGAACATTTCAAAGAAAGCTCACAGGACTGGATTTTCAGATCCTAAAGGTATAGAAAAGTGTTGGATCTTAGAACATGAAAGACGTATATAAGCCAGAAAGAAGTTGGTATGCTTCATAGTGATGTACAAGATTTTGCAATGAAGAAGAGAGGCATGGAAGGTTGTAACGGACTTTGGGTATCTTCTTTTCATTTCTAGTTTCAGAATTCTGTGATCCTGGAGAGACTTCAGCCGGACTGCGACTACGTTGTGGAACTGCAAGCCATCGCGTACTGGGGACAGAAACGCCTGAAGAGTACCAAGGTGTCCTTGCGTTTCACACCCACACATGTTGTCAACAACAGTAAGTGACCTTGTCATGGTTCTCTAGGTGATTGTAACCTCTCAAGTACCTTCTGAAACCAAGGTACAGCAGAGAGAGTGTGTCTTTTATTAGATGATAGATCTTCATACCAGTAAACAGGGAACTATATCATTTGAACTGGGATGTACAAAAGAGTTTTACTTTTGAATTCTTTCTTATGATTTTTAATCTATTATAGGTGTAATATTTTGGTGTTGTAATGGAAATTTAACAAGAATGCTTATCCTGTCTGCTGTGGATTGATTGAATTGTGTCCCCCAAAACCCAAATATTAGAGGCTTAATTCTCACTGTAACTGTTGAGGGTAAAAAATCATAATATGATAATTGAAAGGTGGAGCCTTGAAGAGGTCATTAAGTTGATGGTTTAATGGGTGGTTGGGGACATGGTTCTGAGGGCTTTAACAGGAGAGCACATGAGAGTCTCTCTCTCTCTGTGCTATTTTCTGCCATGTGAGACCACAGTGTTGCTGTAAAGCCACCACCAAAAAGACCCTCACCAGGTGTGTTCCCTGGACTTTGGACTTCTCAGCCTATAAAACTGTAAGCCAAAAATTTTGTTTTTTTTATAAATCACTCAGTTCCAGGTATTTCGTTAGAAGCAACAGAAACAGACTACAAAAAAGTAGATATTTGTACCAATAAACATGGAACTATATCATTTGAACTATGATGTATACAAAAGAGTTTTATTCTTGAATTCTTTCTTATGATTTTTATCTGTTATAGGTGTAATATTTTAGTGTTGTAATGGAAATTTAACAAGAAAGTTTATCCTGTCTCATTCTAACAGATGAGCTGTTTATATATTCATATGGTTTGTACCTATGCATACTTGTTTTTAAGGCAAATACATACAGTTAAACTGCTTTAAACTGTTGTTTCCCTCCTAAAATATGGCATGCCCACTTCTGTTGGTCCTACACAGTGGTCATAATCACTGCTTGAAAAGCTACCCAACACTCCACTGTGCAAACTTACTAAGTCATTCCCATATTGGTTCTTTTTGTTTCTATTTCTTCTTAACGAGTATGTTTGCCATGAACTAAGCAAAACAAGAGCAGAGTCTACTATGACACTCATATTGGAGTCAGAAAATAAGTTACATGACGTTTCTGGCTTTGTTCAAGAATGGATACTGGTCAGAAGGTTCCATGGAGAGGCGAGGGGCAAGGTTTCAGGGGGCCGGGGCAGACTGTGCGAGGGCATGAGAGAAGGCTCTGGTCTCAGGCTCGTGATGTTGATCGTTGGGCTGGCAGAACCTATCCTCGTCTTTGCTTTTCATCAGGGTAGTTGGCCTCGTTCAGAAGGGAAAGCAGAGTGTGCTAAAGCTTGTTTCAATTTAGGAAAGGAAATGCTGACTGGCAGAGTTAGATGCAGTGATTGCTTATAATTATCTTCTACCACTGGGGAAAAATGTCAGATCCAAATGAGCAGGTTTGTTTGAAGTGATGCTTCCAAAAAAGTTCTATAGACACAGCTTCCTACCTGTTTGAGAAATAGTCTCTTTGGAGATTAAATGGACTTGAAATGGTCTATTTTTATGTGTGAGTCTGGAACAGTATAACTTCCACCTAAAATTTTTCATGGAAATATATCTATGTGTTTAGTAACTTCATTTATTTTTAAAATTCAGTCATTTATTCATTATTCGCATTGAAATTGTATGAATCAGGACATCACTGTGGCTAATGTTGGGAATATTATTCTATACATATACTGTACATATATGCACTACACAATATATATATTAAATATAGAGACCACATATACACTATATAGCATATACATCCCACAAATTTCTGTAAATATTGTGTGCATACATATATACATATCTGTGCATATACACATACATAAATACATGCACATACACACAAATACATATACATACTACACAGAGACAAACATATACACATACACGCATATATCTCTATATATATTATTCTCAGGACTGGGTGTACTTTGATCTCTGCCTTAACAGTGCCTAATTTTGAATATGGACAATAAACTTGTAAAATAATTACACAGAGGTCCGTGTGTTGCCTACAGAGCTCCTGGAGACATTGGAAGCATAAAAAATTAACATGGAGGTGGGGAATGAGGTCACATCATTCCTCATGAAGTCCTGAAGAGAGAGTGATTTGTAGGCTTACAAGGCATAGATATCATTCCACACACAGGTGGCAGTAAAGTTGAGTGCAAAGTTGGAAAAGAGAATTGTGTGGGCAGAGCCAGAAAAGAGCATGGGAGAGGAACTAAGGGGAATGGGCAATTCTCTGGATGAGCTCTCACTGAGTTGTGTGGATTTAAACACCATCCCTGAGCCTCCTGCCCTGACCACCCCCTGAACTCAAGAGTCCTATAGACAGCTGCCCGCCCATGCAACACCTCCACTTGGCCAGCAGATATTTCAAAGGTAAAACATCTAAAACTAAACTCCTGATTTCCCACTCAAACCCATTCCTTCTCCAGGCTCTCCTGTCTCAGCAAATGGTTGCACCATTTCTCTTTTCTTTCTCTCCAGGAATCCAATTCTTCAGAAAGTTCTTTTGTCTCCAGTTTGAAGTTATATGCAGGATCTGTCCAATTCT